CTGCTTGCACCTCAGCAGTGACCACCTCGTCCACCCTCTCCCATTCCTCTGGGTCATGGGATTTCATGGTAGTGATTCCTGCTAAGGAATCGACGAGAGTGAAATCCTGGACGACAGAGGAACACAACGTGCACAATGAAGCACGCAGTAGAAACCAAAGTGCTTCAATAGACGCTAGACTGATCACATGAGACTAAGATGAGTGAATTGATATAAATCCTGTGGGGGATCATCAGGTCGTGCTTTCTTCCCCCCCTTGACCCGGAGGTAGGATGCGGAGGTCGCCCAAGAGAGGTGTCGACTGGACTCCAGGCACTGGAGGGCACCCAGGCGAACCTCCTCCTCCTAGTGGACAAGGTGATCAACTGCAGCGTGCTGCTTGCACCTCAGCAGTGACCACCTCGTCCACCCTCTCCCATTCCTCTGGGTCATGGGATTTCAATCGGTTGAATGAAATGGTACACAAACGTCAGACCGCTATGCGATGAGTGGTTGAGAGTAACACTAGCATTTTGATAGTGAAGGTACGCCAGGTGGGATAGAGGTGGATTCACTTTTCCTATATGGCATAGGGGTGAGACCTGAACTGAATCGAGAGTTAGTTAGTCGAGTATGGAATGATTCCTGTAAAGAAGGCAAATATGTAAAGGCAAGGAGCACGCATGTGATATTGTTGCATAGGCCCAAGACCAAGCCATGGTAGCTATCACTCTACCATTTCACCTGCTACATTCCTCGCCATCATCATGTGAGTTGTAAATCTCCCTATTCTTTCGAATTGCATGTAGACTACATGCAATGACGTACGTGACGTAGTAGCAAAGTACCTGCCAATATATGCGTCACCCAACCGCATAGGCTGTTCAACACAACATGAGATGTGTAAAGGATCCATGCCAGAACTTGGGTATGCGTACGAAAGCGACACCGTCGGGGTGTTCAGAGAACCCATTCCGAAACTCAGAACACATTCCAGAATGCAAAACACCAAAATCGCGTTCAGAGAACAGCCCCCCAAACACATTCTGGAAAGCGTTCCAGAATAGATTCCGAACGTGTTCAGAAAACTTTAGAATGCATTCTGAAACACGTTCCAGAAAGCGAAATCTCAGTGCAAAAATTCCTTTCCGAGAATTTTGTGGCGCGCGGGAGGCTACCACGTTCGACAACAAATCAACAGATTCGCACAAGTCGTGGAACTCGTTTTGTACAAAGTCCCGTGATTTTCCTCGAGCAGACTTTTACTCAAGCCTCGATGACATTAGTAAAACGAATACGCAATGTGAAATGTATGTTAATCAACTTAATCTTGATGGCTTCATCTACCTTGCTCAGCTTGCCTGACGAAGTCCAACCAGATAGCTAAGTTTCGCCTTCGCTTGCGGGCGGAGGAAGTTCAGAGTGCCTTTGTGGGCGGAGCGAAGAGTTGCAAGTTACGAAAAATTAAGGTTTCCATTCCAGAATAGATTCTGAGAACTCATTCTGAGAGCGCGATTCGTTGAACGCGTTTCGGAATCGATTCCAGAATACATTCCGGAATATTTGGGAATGGAATCCTCTGAACACGATCCAGGAATCGATTCTAAGAATCGATTCTAAGGA